AAAAAAAAAAACACAGGAAAATCAACTAGTCTTTGTCTTCAATAATTGAGGATTTAGATGCAATAAGGGCTCTTGTGTTAAAACTGCTTCCTGAGATATTGGCGTAAAAGTTTTTGATGTGTTATAACTTTCTTGTTGATGTAGTACATAAAAAAGTAGTATTGTTGTAGTATTGAAAACAATTTCTACTGCGGAAAAATCGTCAGATTACCAGTATTCGACCCTAATTTAATTGTAATAATTAATAGCTTTCGATCGAAAAACGTGTTACCTATGTTTTTTCTGAGTNTGTTAAAACTGCTTCCTGAGATATTGGCGTAAAAGTTTTTGATGTGTTATAACTTTCTTGTTGATGTAGTACATAAAAAAGTAGTATTGTTGTAGTATTGAAAACAATTTCTACTGCGGAAAAATCGTCAGATTACCAGTATTCGACCCTAATTTAATTGTAATAATTAATAGCTTTCGATCGAAAAACGTGTTACCTATGTTTTTTCTGAGTTACGCTTTTTTTTTTAAATGTTCAGTGGCCCGGATTATGCAAAAAACTCCTTTTAAAAATGTAATTTTCATTTCGTAAAACGAGTTGCATTTTTTTATTAGAACACTTGTGTAAAGGTCAGATAAATTTTAAAGCCTATGTCCCTTAGAATATTAATTTTCTATTGAAATGAAAATTTACATTTCATAAAAATGAGTTTGGAAAAATTACATCACCGCCAGTTAGCAGGTCCAAACACATTCCACAAATCGTAAACGCATGAGCCATTTTTACTAGAACCACATCGGTTTATCACTGGTGGATTTCCTACAGGGGTTGCTTACTACTTGCTGCTTTTGAATTCAAAATTTAAATAGTAGAAGCAAGATGAATTGAGTAGAAGCAAGGCACATTAATATGCTTTGAGTAGAAGTAGGTATGTATATAAAAAAAAAACGCATCGTACGACAGAGATATCTATATGAACGCAACAAAGCTTAGGTATTCTTTTCTAAAGTACGAAAGATGCAGAAAACACTTGTTGACTAACTAGAAAGAGATAAACAGAAAATAAATAATGTTTTTCTCCTCTACACACAATCATTCTATCCCCCTTTGGTCACATGATTTGCCAAGGTGAAAATAAATAATTTTCTGCTCCTCTACACACAATCATTCTATCCCTTTTTTGTCATGTACTATGCCAAGTTAGGCTATCTGTTTCGCTGATGTGAAGTGCTAATACATTTACTTTGCAATATTTGCTGATCAACTACCAACTCAATCGCAGTGGTTCGGTAAACGAAATAACAAAAGTATTGATTTTTTTTTTTTTACATACAAGTGAACGCTATGTCTGGGCCTTTTAAAAGAAAACTAACAATCCCAACGAGTTCCAAGGCAATTGAAATAACGCTGGAAAGGGACGCGCCACCATTAGTAATAACTAGAGGCACTGCAGCAGCTACCGTAGTGCATACACCAACAAACTTGGAAACCATGGTACCAGCTGCCAATATAAACCAGACAAAATACAACGTCGCTGGCTACACGGTTGGCGCCGCATACGCGACTGCGGTTACTACTACACCATCAACAGCAGCAGCAGCGACAACGTCCGCTGGTCCAGTACGGCTACCGCGGTCGAAAATCAAACGAGTTGCGCTTTATAGTGGTAGTGCTACAAAAAACGATGAGGGGACAGCGCCAAGCCCGACAACAACAGTTCCCCCTCCAAATATAGCAAAGGTAGTGGCAGCGTCAGCTGCAGAAGTGACGACCAAAGCAGCGGCAGATGACAACGATAGCGATAACGATGAATTGCATATGCAGAAGAGCGACTCGGACGAAGATGGGTATTCGAATATCGATTTTTTCGATGACAATTACCAACTTATTGAATGTAAGTTGAATAGTTATTTTTTATTTTTTTTTGAAAATTTCTTTTCATATCAAATATTTACACAGTATGCGTTGGTAGCTAAAGGCAAAGCTGCATTTTCCCTTATTTAAATAGCCAGAATTTTGCACATACATACCATTCAGCTTAAATATTTGATATGTCATGGAATCTTTGTCATCTAAAATCGCCCCTAACACACTTATTGATCTTATTTACTTTTGATTATATTTGCATATAACCAGCCGATGAATCCGTAGATGAATTCGATCCAGTTTGGGGCCATGCTTTAATGCAGCCCAGCAAAGTTTTTAATTTTAATGGAAAATGTCAAGAAAGCCTTACAGACGACTCCATATTTGAAAATTCGATTTCTTATTTTGATATGGTGCTTGGGCCGAGGAGAGAGTTCTTCACAAAGTTGGCGAATAGTTGTAGCACTCGTGCTGCAAAAACAATCGCAAACAATTCGGGTTTTCATAGCTTCACAGCGGAAAAATTGCAAATATTTATTGGAATTTGCTTGCAAATGAGTTCATTCAGATTATTTGAGATAGAACAATACTGGAGCGAAACCGATCACTTTGGCTTTGACGGGTTCGGCGATAAAATGAGTTTGGAACATTTCAGAATGATATTGGATGTATTAAATTTTGATATGTTTAAGAAGTCCTACAGTTCGGCTCGTAACCCTAAGAGTGGTAAATTAGCAAACATTCTTTCTGACATTAAGCCTCTATTGGACTACTTCAACAAGAACATGGAATCGGTTTACTCCTGTGATCGCCGGTTAATTTTAGGCGAACCTCTAATATACTGGAAAGGGAAATTCAACTGGTTGAACGAAGTGCGGGACAAGTTTCGTTGTAACGCAGTCACTCTACACTTTTTGACTGAACCATCTGGAATGCTTTTAAAAATAGTGCCCGATTTAGAGGAGTCAGAACGAAAACAGTACACTCGTAATTCGAAATCACTTGCTCTTCAGCGGTCGGCAATTGCAATGGATCTACTAAAGTCAAAATTGGGAAAAGGTAATAAAATTAGAACAATTAATTGCACTGTGTATACATATGTATTTTCTTAGTGTACAGTTAATTAATTGCTTTATGTGCAACGTTTTTCTGGCAGGTCACTTTGTTTATGCTTCTCAATACTACAGCAGCTATGCACTTGCCTCGGCTTTGGCTAAACGACAGACTTATTGCACAGGATTTTTGGATTGCAACCGTTATGGCAATAGCAAGGAGCTAATACTAACAAGGCTAGACAAAGGAAGTGCAGTTGCCAGATATGCTGGCGACGTATTGATGGCAAAATATCGACATCGCGAAAACAGTTTTTATTTTTATAGCACCAATTGTGCGGACATTTTTGCAAATGGGGAAAAATCTGAGGAATCATCTCTTGTGGATGTAGTGAGAGAGCTGGAGACGCTTTTGTGCCCACCATTGAATATCCGGTTAAAAATGCAGAATTGTCAATTGTTATTTCCTTGCGACGAAATGAAGTGGGACAAACGATTGATGATCTACGTGATAAATTTGATTGTGTTAAACGCTTATATACTCTACATGAATCAAATGAGTTTCAGAAACATTCAATCTCCTATGCGATACGAGAAATTTCGAGAAGAAGTTATAAAGTCATTACTGAATACAAATTTGAAAAGCGATCATATTATTCTGATTTTACCACCCGTCGATGGCAAGGTTGCGAAAAAGAGATGCCAGATTTGTCGCAAAGGTGGTCTAACGACATATTCAAAGTATTCTTGTAAAATGTGTCCGGGAATGCCGGGTTTATGCGAAACGCCTTGCTTTAAGATTTGGCATGATCAACTGAAGAAATCGACGACGGAAACCAAACTTCGGGGAGGAACCCAACTAACTTAAGTACATTACGAAAATTACGGATATCGATAGTTTAGTATAGATAGACCTCATGTAATATTTTTGTTTCTTTACAGTTTAGTTAAAAGAAAAAACTTGCAAAAAACCTAATTTTCAGCCATTTGAATGTTGCACTTTATTACACTAAAATTGAATGGGCTACAAAACTGCATAGTCAAAATATTTCTAAGAAATTTAATTAAAAAGCTCGAAATTTTTACGAAAGATTGTTGATTTTTTTTTTAACATTGCCCAAAGTTTGAAACTGGGATTTACATGGTTTTTGTTAAAGAATGAACTACTTATAAAAAATTTCTAAACTAAATAAAAAGAAAAACTTGTCTATATTTGGTGCGACTTTAATTTTTTCGACCACTGTATCTATACATACATACATATGTATGTGTTTCTATCTATAAACCAATAACAAGATGCAGTTGTATTAAACTACACATGCAATAGCAATTTATGCCCTGTATGCAGCTCACGTCATTTTATATGGAGTTTTTGCTTTTCTGGAGAGCTGCATGCAGGCCTTTAAGCGGCAAGATACAAATCCACACAAAACAGTCTACCAAAACTTGCACTGCTCTTCCATATTATCTCTTTCTACCACATTTAATTTATACATATGTATATGCCAAAAGGAGACAGTCAGAGGGGCACAACAGCCAACAAGTTTATTTAGGTACGGCAGTAAAACAGCAGCAGGTAGTCAAATGGCCTATCCATGAGTACTGTCGCGGGAAAGAGAAGTGCTCAAGCACACAGCCACTGTCCTTCTCAACGTAGAGAATAAAAGAGAAAAATGCAAAAGCTTACCAAACGCAAATAATTTAAAACATACATCTATTTCGTTTCGCAATATTTTAGTGTGGAAAATATAGCAAGCCGGGGTGATATTATTTGCGAGCTATATAACATTTTTATTCACACAAAAAAAAAGTTGGTTAAGGCAAATAAAGAAAATACAAAATAATTTAAAAGTAATGATACGCACAAGAAAACGTCATGCCTCAGCGCCAGAAGGCGCTGCAAACAAAAGCCGAACGACACAACCGGCCGCTGCCCCATCGGTAGCGCCGCCGTCTGTCTCTCAGTTATCGACAAATGAAAGGAACATGGCAACAGCGGAAGGCGAAGAGGAGGAGTGCATCATTGACGATATTAAACTCGATGTTTATAAAATACAACAACAGTGGTTGAGCTCAGCTGCAGAAATTGCGCCAACGCCGACTTCGGCGTCTACGTCGGCTACTGTAGCTAATGCCAAAAAAACCATGACTGTCCAGCGTACGGCAGAGAATTCAGAAGGCGTATGTTTGTTGGATATCGATAAACATGATGGTGGTGGGATATCCGCTTCGCTGCGAGACTGTAGTCAAAATATCGAAAAAATAAAGTCAAATAACGGTGATGGTGCACAATCGATGAGGTTAAAGTTGAAACCAGCGAGTGTGATAAAGTCAGAATTCAATTTTGATGCCGACGAATTAGATATGCAGGAAACCGATTCGGATGAAGAAGGGTGCCCGGATGTTAATTTTGAGGAAGAATTTGAGTTAATAGAATGTAAGTAAAATATGATTGCAATTAATTGCCCATCTATGTATAATATGTAGTGTATGCATGCATAAGTATGTATGCCCTATAAACATTCGGACTCATTTTAGAGTCAGAAAAGTCTTAGAATTCTGAGTTCTAACCCTCATTATGAGCTCAAAAAAAAAGAGTCGGAAAAGAGCGTACCTCCCTTATACGATTTTTCCTCGGCACCCTGAATTACTTTGTTTGCTTCCCTAATTGTGATCGTGAAGTACCCCATTCCAACAAACACAATCTTAAATTCCATTTGACAGTTTTCGGTCTCTATGTTTTATTTTTTCTTCGCTATAAAATTTATAAACTGCCGTAATAAATTGGTGATGTACACATGTACGTATAAACTTTACTTTTAGTACTCAAATTACCACCAAATTCGGTAATTCGGTATCAAGATTTTGTTTGGCGAATTACGTAATTCGAGGGGTAATTGGAGTGCGAATTACGAATGAGAGCGAACTACGTGATTGGGGTGGCGTGCGAAAGCCGTATTTTAGAAGGGCACGCAGACCAATATTTATTTATTTTAGTCGAAGTTAGGAGTCATATTAGAGTCTGATATATAACGCTTTTCTAAGTGTTAAAATTAAATATTCTTTATAACTATGATTATTAATATAGAGTCCGAATTGAGTGAGCCCGGTTGACTTGCCTCAGAATCATATTTATAGCGAAAGAAAGCCTCATTTTAGACTTATAAATTGTGAGCACTCAGAAATTATTTAAAGTGTAGGTGGTATTCTGGGTTTTGGTATAACATGGAACATCCAAAGGTTAATCAAGTCAATCCAAAAACTCAAAATTGGTAAATTTGCACATTCATGCTTCTGGCATAAGGGGCACCTATTTAATATTTCTAGATTTTGTCACCTGGGTAAAAGATTGTCATATCGAGCCCTAACCGCCAAAATAACGTAAGCGACATTTTTTTCAAAATTTTATTTTTGATGCAGAAATGCATCTAGATGCTCTAGGAATATTTCTGCATCAAAAAGAAAATTTTGAAAAAATGTCGCTTACGTTATTTTGGCGGTTAGGGCTCGGTATGTTCGGCAGGTTTTGGGAAATCGAGTTNAGCATAAGGGGGACCTATTTAATATTTCTAGATTTTGTCACCTGGGTAAAAGATTGTCGTATGTTCGGCAGGTTTTGGGAAATCGAGTTTGAAGTTTGGAACGCAAAACGCGACGATAGATTTTCTCCAAAGGCTCTGGGAATGTTACTAGTTGACGAAATTCTTAATTATTTAATTTTTATTATTTATTGTTAATTACACTGGTTTACAGCAAATATGTTCTATGGATGCCACTATCCAATTTCTATGTAAATGTATACATTTGTCAACAATTGTAGAGCCACTGTGTATGACATGCGACAAAATTAGATACAAATTTCTACTAAATATCTAAACACCTTATGAACTCCCTAAATGTTTCATTCTGCTTCTAATAGAAACAAATAGCAAACAGATCTACCTACAGGGAAGAGATGCTGATACTCGTAGAGCAAATGAAGTTAAGTTTTTAGTCGGTTTTATAGACTTGAGAGAGGCAGTATGTTCTACCATTGTAAAGTTATGTTTCGTCATCCATAATCTCAAGGTAGGCAATAGAAAATTAGAATTACAAAATAAAAACGTATCAGGAACATTTTTTCCACCAATTTAAAAAGATTTCCCCACCTTCTACTACTTTCTTCAGCAGATATTTTTTATTTAAACAGATTTAAAGGTCATAATGCAAAAAATTTGTTTATTGTTTTGCACAATTTTATTCGACAGGCGAAGGAGACATGGATATGTACGCTCCAGATTGGTCAAACAATTTGGATGGCCAACGAAAGGTGTTTATAAACGAAAACTACAAAGGAATTCTCGAAGGCGCTCCAAAATCTAGCTTTTCCACGTACTATTTTTACAAATTGTTGGGTGGTGATGGATTTTTCAAAAGTTGGTCTAAATGTTGCAATAAACGTGCCACAGAAGCCTTTCATAGTACAACCCACTTCGAGGAGTTTACTTCAAAAGAAATGAGCATTTTTTACGGCATCTGCCTGCAAATGGGTTCATCACAGCTTACGACATTAGCGGAATATTGGGAATGTGAGGCACATCATGGTTTCGGGGGTTACTCTAGAAAACTGAGTTTGGACCGCTTTTTGCAAATACTAAAATTTTTAAGTTTCGAGAGTTTGCTGCCTGAAGAGAAGAGCACTAAAACGGACGATCAAAGTGAGGAAAAATTTGTTGATTTGAAGCCTATTTTGAAATTCTTCAATGAACGCATGGAATCTGTGTACAACTGCGGCCGAAGAATAGTCTTGAATGAGCCAATTATGTATTGGAAAGGCAGGCTACATTGGGCGAATGATATGAGTCTGAAGTTTCGCAGCAATGCGGTTATGCTGCATCTCTTAACTGAACAATCCGGTTTAGTACTCAAAATATTGGTCGATTTAGAAAATCCACAAAGAAAAAAGGACGCCCATAATTCAAAATCGTTTCTTGTTCAACGTCTGTCTATTGCGATGGAGCTGCTCAGCGAGAAATTACATAAGGGTAATAGTGAACTTTCTTGTTCTGTTTCATTTATGAATAAATCTTATTTAAACCCGCTTAGGACATACTGTTTTCGCTTCCAAATATTATGGCAGCTATGCACTTTGCCTGGAGCTGGGAAAGCTGGGTACCTATTCCTCGGGACTTTTGGAAATACAACGTTTCGGTAATAGCAAAGAATTGGTTCTGAAGAATCTGAAACAATATCAGTCTGAAATTAGATATGCGGACTTTATAATGATGGGAAAAAGCCGGCGCCGAGAAAAAAATATTTATTTTTATAGTTCAGACTGTCTTGTCACGAAATACATTCAAACGCGTGGAGGGCTGAAAATAGTCAAAGAGATCGACTGGCAGTTGAAAACAGCACCGAAAATACGCGCGTACCTGTTAGATTACCAGTTGGCTTTAGAACGTACTGAAATGAAGTGGGATAAACGGTTGATGATCTTTGTCATGCACCTGGTTTTATTCAATGCCTATCTCTTCTTCACTACGCACGCGCAAAGTGGCACTCGTTCGAGATCTTATCAAACGTTTCGACAAGAAATAATCACATCTTTATTGAATCCAAGATTTGATTTGGACAGCGCTGATGACAATGATCTCGAGCTGAGCATGTCAGAAAGTAAACTACGAAAAGGTTTCCCAGATAAGTCTCGCGCGCCACAATCCCTGAAGTTAACGGAGCACCTACCTATAGATGTACCTAATTTTAATGGACAGCGGGTCAGGAAGCGTTGTCGGATCTGCGACAAAGGCGGTCTTAAGACCTTTTCGAAGACTTGCTGTGGAAAATGCCCGGGTATGCCAGGACTCTGTGTAACACCGTGCTTTAAGATGTGGCATGGTCAGATGCAAAGCACAAGCGGCCACAATTGAATCTAATGGAAGTAGTTATTGCTTAGTGGTAGAGTCCGAAAAATGATATGTTATAGCGTTTTCTTTTCTCGAAATATTTTTGCATTTATTCTGCCCTGCGCCAGGGCTGTCAAGTTTCCGTGTTCTTTTCTCTGAATCTTCACATGCATATTGGGTGCTCTTTCTTTAAAATGTTGCTTCTGATAATGTTGCCATATAAGATGACATTTTTTTCGAGAAGAGAAAGCGTCATTAAAAATCGAGAATTCGGAACCTAATATTCTACTGTTTAAATAAATGTCCTTTGAACATATTGAGCACAATAAATGACAGCTTCACAAGCAAATTTTATACTTTAAATAGATAGATAATTAATAGAGGTATGCACTGCGACCAATAGGTCTATTGTGCCCTCAACCATTTACAGTTCCTCATCTAATCCTAGAGAGCCCAAAAATTTGAGGAGATCCCCAGGGATTAGCGATTGTATTGCTTCGTCACATGACCAGTAATGACCCAGGTACCTCTCCCGTCTTCTCGCGACCGCCTCGCATTCGCTAAGCAGGTCCTCAGTCACGTCGCAGAAACGACATAGGTCGTTTGACCAGATCCCTAGCTTGTGTAGGTGGCTTTAAATAAAAAACTCGGTGTTTTTTCAAGTTGATCTACAATATATAAATTTTTATAAGGTAATGAACATTTTTTTATAACGTAACAACATGGTGGGTGTCTTGTCTTGTCTATGTAAAACGGTGTATCATCTTTGCCTCAAATATTTATTGGAATTTATACTCATGGGGTTCACAAAGAAGAAGTTGATATTCACATACATATGTACATTAAGATGTCTCAGGAAAAAAATTGTTCCTTCGTCAAGCGAATCAAGAAATTTTAAATTTTTATGGCTCCCACCATAACATTTCGTTTCAATTCGATGTCTTACGTCAGCAGGACCGCATTCCATATACAAATAGGGAGTTCACAAGGTGTTGTATACTGTGGTACTGTTGTATGTCATAAACTTTAAACGGCTAAAACTATATTTAAGGAATTCGCAAGCTAACACAAAAGTTTTATTATGAAATTTCACACCGTTAAAAAATAGTTGGAGGTAATTTCAAGTCCTCTAAACATTTATTTAGCCGTTAAAAACTTTACAACATACGACAATACGACATGTACGACACCTTGTGAACCACCCAAATATTTACTTTAAAAATTCGCATATTTCATTTGGGACAAATTCTTGCAAGATAGAAGAAAGTATTCTTAAGAGAAACATTTTCGCATGTATGTACATATCTGGGAGTTATAAAATTAATAGATTTTTTCATTAGCATTGGGAAACCGAACCGATTTTCTTTGATATGGAGCCTGAGTCGGTCTAATGTGCATACACAATGTACATTTCCAAATATATACACCGCTGTCTTGACAACAAACAAACCAAAAACAATTTGAATTAATAATTGCGCAAATGTAGGAAAAAATTAAATGCAGTAAAAAAAACCCTGACGTTTATAAATATTCATAAAATATTGAGATAAACAAATTAACGCTACCCATATACTTACTTAAATACATACATATTAGGGATGTTGCGAATGTGGAATATTGAGACATCCGGGGATGCGGATGCGAATGCGGTGTCAAGTATTTTTAAGAAATAATTTTTCTCAGTACTTTAGGTGATTTAGGTAAATAAAAAATGGAAAGGTTAGTAACTTTTAATAATGTTTTTTTTTAGTACTTCAATTTAAAAATTGGAACATTGTATTTAATAAAAACTCTTTGAAAGCTCGTAAATCAAACCTGCGCCACTAAATAACTACTGGTACCATGGCAAGATCTTTGTATAAACATCGTTTCGATTTAAGTTTTTGTAATTCATTTTTCATCCTTTCTTCTGTGACTGGCCAGATATCTTTAATTTCGGAATAAACAATATTTGGCCAAATTTAACTCGTAAAAAAATAACTGTTATTTTCGGTCATTCGCGAAAGATCCGCATTGATTATTGCGAATGCGAATGTTAAACTTAATGCGGAAGCTCCGCGGTTGCGAATGCGAATATTCGCAACAACCCTGATACATATGTACATACATGCAAGCAAGGTGATGAGAAAGGTAATACACATGTAGGGGCTTGAAGAGTTAAAACCGGTGCAAGTGACGAAATAAATGTACGTAATGATTTCTGTACGTTCGTGTGCTTGTGTGTGAAAGGTATCATTCGCAAAACAACGCGTTATAAACGCGCCAATGACGGTGTTATATTTGATACAGACTGCAGTGTTGCTGCTGCCATGTGTTGGTTAACTAACATCAGTTGAAACCCGCTTCGGTGCAACGTTGCAATTTGATGCAGTAACACGACAGCGCACTAAGCGAAATATTGGCAGAGCAAGGAGACAAAATATTTACATACATACTCATCAGCGTGCATTTCCTTAAGCTGGATGAAGAAATGTATAATGGCACAACGTCAGCATAAGCCGCATACGTAATTATACTAAAAATAATTTACGAATGTATCATCTATTAACTTATGCTTTATTAGCTTGAAACTTTGAAAAAAAAATAAAGTCAACTTATTGAACCCTTATGGAACTTAACAGTGATAGATTCTGACAGGTTATTGCTTCCGATAATGATCTTGCGCTGACGGTAGAGAGGAAAAGCAATCCTAAATTCTACGCGAACTAGTACAAAGCATCTTATATGCTGTAGAAATGGCCATGGTTCTCTCTTCAAAGCAAACTCCTTTCGGAGGTACTCAGGTATCTGCGCATTATTCTGTACAGAAAGCTAACCTGGCCACGCATTGTAGAAGAACGTAGTAGGAAGGTACAGTGGTTGTACGTCCGTTTCGTTGATAAACCTACAATAAGAAATGAGCTAACCAACGTTTAGAGGTTGGGATACAATTTACAGGCCAAAACCGGGTCGAAATCTAATAATGTTTTGTTTTTTAATGAACAAGCCATTTTTACCCTCCTTTTATTAGCTCGGGATGTAACTATGTAATATTGATGCGCCTTAAAGATGCAGCGATTTCTATTCTCAAGTTACATACTTGATGACAGTACGAACGGCAATTATAATAGGGAAGTTTTAGTTTTTTAAACTATAAATTTATTTTACTGCGTTTATACGCACAAATTAATCGAATTAAGGCAAATTGAAACCATACACATTTCGCTCTAGTATATATAGTTACGGCTTTATATCGTTATAACACCCGATTTACATGATTCAAGTACTTGAAAGCAATTCTTGCTCATTCTCTTTTGTGTTTTCTATTTGCTTTTACACGTTTCAATTCTGTTGAATTCAAGTTTTTGGTTCTTTAAATGGAAAGCAACGAAAATGCCAAAAGCAAAGCAAGAAAGTTGAAACGTCTTGACGGCACAGACGCATGTGTACTCGTCCCTTTTCTTCTCACCCCCTCTCTTCCACATGCGAGCAGAATTGAATTCAATACTTGAACTGTGTAAAAGCAGTCTAAAAGTAACACTCTTCAAAAACAAAAATGTAACCTTCTCAGTGCCCTCTTCGCACATATACAGTGGTGGAAGAAATAATATAAACTTTTTACTTTGACCAGTTTTGGCTATATTACTTTGTTTGTCGATGTTTAACGTTTTTGTATAAAAGTCTAGCGCAATATATAACCCACACTACATAAATCCATATTTCAAAGCTTGTACAAAAATTATAAAAATTCAACAAATTTTAACAAAAGCCCCCAAAAATTTCAAACTTTTTGATCAGATCTTTTTGAAAAATTTTGGGTATGCAGTTTCATAGCCCATTAAATTTTAAAATTTAAAAGTGCAAACCGCAAGACGCTAGAAAATCGCATTGATTTTTAATAATTTATTTGGCTGGCGGTGTTGTGCATTTTCTTCCATATAAAGTATGCAAAAGATGGCAATAAACATGCGGTTTTCTTCCATATAAAAATAAATTGTGTTTATTCGTTATATGGAAGGAAATGCGAAAAAAAATTCTACTCCAGACATTGAACAAGCACGCCGGACAAATGCGAACTGTTCAGTCCATATAAAGAGATCAAAAGTGGTGTGTCCTTAGAGATTGGTCCTGGAGTCATGCCGGATTAGGCGTATTTTATCCGGGATAGTTTACGTACATATGCACAGATGTATATGTATATATGTACATTCATAAACGGTATATGTACATAAGTAATATGAGTGCTTGTAAAAAACTTAAAATTTAACAAATTCAAAACGAGCGAAAGCAAAACCAAAGAATCAGGTAAACAAACGCAAATACGTCCACACATGTCCACATACATACATACTTATGTAAATACATATATGCATATACGTACGTAGTAGGAATGTTGCGAATGTGGAATTTATACATCCGCGGATGCGGATGCGAATGTTGATGTCAAGTATTTTTAAGAAGTAATTTACGTGAGTAAATTAGGTGATTTAGGTAAATAAAAAATGGAAAGGTTAGTAATTTTTAATAATGTTTTTTTAGTACTTGAATTTAAAAATTGGAACATTCGGGTTACAGTCTGTTTCTTAAAGGGTCGTAAATCAAACCTGCACCACTTAATAATTACTCGCTCGAGGCGACAAAATTGAAAAACTTGAAACTTGACAAAATTGTAAATTCTTTTCGATTGACGCTGCACCAGTGGACAGGACTTTCAGTTACATTAATTTTTTTATTGCGGTGCAATAATTCCTTATTGATAATTGCATCGGGGCTGCAAATGTCGGATGTATCCTCTCGACTTTCATCTTCACAATCTAGCATCATGGCAAGATTGTTGTTTCAGCACCATTGTTTTCCAAAAATTTCTTCATTCTCATTTTTTTTGGTTGTTCAGAATTTGTAGCGTCATTAGCGTTTTTCGATTTTAGTTTTTGTAGTGCATTTTTAATCCTTTCTTCTGTGACTGGTTTGAAAAATGTCTGCTTGTAGCAAGGTTCTAAATAGATCGATATGGCAAATAAATTATTATTTTCTAGGAATGAAAATTTGTAAGAAAATTGTTTTGAAGATCTCAGATCTGCTAAGTTCCCGGGTGACTTCTTGAAAAGGTTCACCTGTAATGAATAGCTTGTAATTCGTTCTTTAATTAGCTGAGCTCGACTTTTCCTTTGGCGAATAATATTCGATAGTTACATAATTCTTACATAATTAAAGGTTATCTCTTAACGCACAAATAGTCGATTCTCTTTACAAATAGCTAGACGTTGAACATTTCCCGCTGGAAATACCTATTGAAGGATCTTACTTTTTGACTTTAAATTACATAAGAAGGGGGCGGTATGGGGACAGTTTTAACGTAGCTTCTCCACAGGCAAAAAATATTGGCTACAATTTTTAATTTTTTTTTGCCAGATATACGTTTTATCAGTGCACTTGTGCAATATTCGCATTCGCAAAAGCTCCGCATTGATTATTGCGAATGCGAAAGCGAATGGCAAAATAATGCGTACGCTCCGCGGAAATGAGGAACCCCGTAGTTAGTAATGCATCAGAATTTTACATTTTAAAGCTTTCTGAAGGGAAACATTCTTATTCGATCAAAAGCTATATATTTTTAACCATTTTATAGCAATTCTGCGAAAAAGTGAAAAAAAAAATTCGGAAAACCTCAAAGCA